GGCGTAGGGTGGAGGGTGGGGGGATCTGACAGGCTGAAGCAGGAGGGGAGGGTCTGAGCTGCGGTGGGGGCCTTGGTGTTGTATTTACCTTCAAGCGGGCCTGGGGCAGGCAGGTGAATCCTGAGACCCACGCAGGAATTATGGTCGCTGCCCTAGCCTCATCGTTGATAAGACTTTTTACCTTCCTGGCCCTTCTCAGCCTCGGGTACCTCAGTTTCCCCAAAAGAGAACTGAGAGGCTTAGAAGGCAGGAGCAGCGAGGCAGCTGTAGGTGGGGCCCGAACTTGCCTGCTCACCCCATTCTCTTTTGTTGTCTGCTACCCTGGTCACATGGAGAGGGGGGTCTATCCACCTCATTCTCCCCAGACCGCCCTCGGGTGCAGGCTCAACCCCGCTGGATGGCCAGACTCCCACCCCCGACAGGTCTGGGCCGCCCCTTGCCCCGCCCGCGTCCTCCAGCCCAGGTGCCGCGCCGCCCGGTGCCCAAGCCACCTTGCTGTCCCTCAATTCCGCAAACATCTGTTGCGCGCCCACTGTGAGCCAGATCCGCGCCAGCCTCCCCCCCTCACCCCCGCCTCTCCCCCGCCACCCTCCCCTTACCGGCCGGGCCGGCCTGTCGGCTTCGTGACAGCCGCCGCCGAAAGCCCCAGGCCCCCGCGGGAGCGGCCGGAGAGGAGCCGCCGCATGGCTGGCTCCGACACCGGTCTCCCCGGCGGCTCCAGGGGCAACGGAGGGTGGCGGCCGCTGAAGCGAGACCGGAGGCGGCCCGCAGAGTTATCAGAGCTGGGCGGGGGAGAGAGGGGCCATGGGCAGGCTTGTCTCTGAATCTCTAAGGCCTGTCTGTCTCCTCATTCCATTGCCCTAGGGTTGGGCCGGGGCCGGGGCCAGGGCCGGGACCCCGCCTGGCTCTGCGCGCCTGGGACGCAGTTGGCTCCCGCGCCCCCTCCCCCAGTCCGGGTGATTTACACGCGGGCTCCGCGCAACGGCCGCTTCCCAATCAGGAATATCGACCCCGGGCGGGGCCTCCGGGCCGCATCGATCCCTCTAAGGCTCGGGATTTAAAAATGTCAAATTTGCCTTTTCCAGGCGGGTGGAGGGGGCGGGGTGGGATTTGGAGGAGGGCCGCTTGGGGGTGGGGGGGCAGACAGAGGGGCATCGACCAGATGCCTGTGCCCTGAATGAGAAGCGACCCGGCCATGGCCGGGCCCTGACACTAGCTGCTTATCCTTACGTTGCAGTCCCCTCTGGATGAGGGTAGGAAGGAAGCCCTACTCCCCCTCCCCCATCTCCATGGACCGCACTGTTGCAGTGGGGTATTCCCAGAAAGAGAAGCCCCAGAGGAACAAAGAAAGACCCCCTAAACGTAGGGAGACAAATTTGGAGGAGATTCCTAAATGTGGAGGCATACAGACACAAGGAGGGATGTAGAGACACAGATACAGAGGCTCCAGGAGATACCCTATGTATAAAGAAGAGTAAGGCACATGGAAGGGGCTGAAAGACACACCAAGTGAAGAAAGAGAGTTATTTAGGGAGAGGAATTAGAATGTAATTAGCATTATCTTCCCAAAGTGTCAACTAGCAACTGGACCTGAAATCCAAAAAGTAAGGGTCCCAGAAGCCACAAACCCAGCCCCAAAAGAGGTGGGCTCTCTTGGAGGTCTGATGGCCTTCCCTTCCCTTCTGGATATCCACCTCTTCCTTTCTGTCCACCACCAGCCTGGGAAGCCAGATGGGCTGGAGATCACATCTTATATTGGAGACTGTATATGTGATGGAGACTGCGTGAGTGTGTATATGTATGTGGACTGTAGAAAACTCTGGAAGTAACTGCTTCCTTCTCTAGAACTTAGCAGCTGGGTCTACAGACTTTGGAAAAAATCCACCACTCTCAGGAAGCTTGGGAAAGGGATGATGTTTGGGTTGGAGGTGGTGAAGGGAGCAATTGTCCAGACCAGCACCCTCACAGTTAACATCTATCCCCCACACCCCCAGCAGCACACCTCAGCTGTCACTGTGCACACTGCTGTTTCCTACAGAATTGGAGACAGAGAGCTGAGAGCAAGTAGGGTGGGGTGGCACAGACATACAAGGAGAGGCGGCAGCTCATCCTCAGACACAAGCATCACACACCTCCACTGACAAAATCAGGCCGACACATCCCTACCACTGACAACACACAGTCACTGACCCCCACATGCGACCAACACGCATCAATCCCTGTCACATACACCACCTCTGTGTGCACAGACACGCACAATTCCTCCTAGGTCAGGCCAAAGTGCCTAGTCTTAAAGCCTGTCTACACCCTTTCTTGACATCTTAGACGTTAAATCGCCTTATCTGAGCAGAGGGATTAGGTCCCCGTCCCCGCTCCCCAAATTCTGCAACCAGGGCCAGCTCCAGCAACTAAAAGGCCGATCTCGAGGAAGTCAAGTACCAGGGTCGAGGCAAGGAACCAGAAGCTGACCGGGCAGTGGAGCTGTTATACGCCTCCCTTATTTCCCCTCCTGTCACTGTCTCTTTCCCGGCACGTCCACTCGCGGCCCGCCGCCCGCCTGTCAGTCGAGTAATGAATGCGCGCTCCGGGCCCCGGGCTCCCCTGGAATCGTTCATCACTGCCAGCACCGCCCACCTCTCTGCGCCTGCCGGGAGGGCTACGCGGCCCAGGCGGCAAGACCCCCTCTCCCTCCACCTCCACTACTAATTGTCAGATTGAGATGTTGATTTGTAAGCTAGGAGCTAGCGCCAAAGAATCCGCAGTAAAACCTGGGCTCCTTGAACTTCCTCTGCCTCCATTTGGGGTCGCCCAGCCTTGGAGCCTTTCTGGATTTGATGTGCATGGGTTGGATTTCACTTAAGAGATCGAGAATAGAAGCAACAGTATTATTTTATTTCAATGGGAGGCGCACCAGTCTTGAGATCCTAAGAGGGCTTATCCTGGGCTCTGTCCCACTTCTACAGACCGGAGGCTCTTGGGCTTCGTCCCTCAGACTCCCAGCAGGCGGCGCCTGGGCCACCGGTCTCCTCTCACAGCTAGTCCTGGCTTCCGCACTGGAAGCCCCCAGGCAGCCGTCCCCAGTCCGCATTCAGTGAACGATGGGGGTCATATACTGCCCTCTCTTTCCTCCCGTGACTCCGGCCTCCCGCACCTCCGGCCTTCCGCAGTCCTCCATTCTCCCGCAGGAGGCGCCCCTGTTGCAGGTCTGCTCTCGCCCTGCCCTAGGAGCCTAGGCTGCTGTCCCACCCCCCACCCTCCCCCC